TTAATCCAGTTTGGTTCAGTTTGTGTCATGGAGCTTCATGCTGTGTGAATACTGGAGGATATAAGATTATCTTCGGAAGAGGAACCAGAGTAACCGTTGAAACCAGTGAGTACTTATATATATTATACATAAATTAAATGTGTAGTTTTCTACTGTAACTGAAAAAACAGTTTCTATAAAATGTCAGGAACAAAGAAAAGCCTAAAAATCCCGAACCATTACAAAATGTAAACACGTTTTAATCAGAAGAAAGACGTCTGGATCGTTAAACAATAAATACGGTAACATTTAATATATAATATATATTAATAATGAGAAGTCTCTAAAGTTAAGTCGATGTTTGTCTGAGTGGAGTTTGGGTCAGTTTGTGTCATGGAGATTCATGCTGTGTGAATACTGGAGGTTCAGATAAGATTATCTTTGGAAGAGGAACCAGACTAACCGTTGAAACCAGTGAGTTCTGATAGAGATTATAAATATTATTCATAACAATAATTCAAACTTAAATGTGTTACAAACGTATGAAACCAGTATTTAAAAATATTTAACAACGTGTAGTTATCTAGACTGGAATCTATAAAAAAACTGAAAATAATAAAAGATTCAAAATAATTAAATAAAAATACATTTTTATCTTATTTGATCAAATAACAGTACCTTAGCATTTTATATATATTAATAATTAGAAGTCTTTAATGTCAAAATGATGTTTTTCTGAGTGCAGTTTGGGTCAGTTTGTGTCATGGAGCTTCGTGCTGTGTGACTACTGGAGGTTCAGATAAGATTATCTTTGGAAGAGGATCCAGACTAACCGTTGAAACCAGTGAGTTCTGATAGAGATTATATATATTTTATAAAAAGCTTCTTTAAACACAAACCAGAATCAAAATGTTTAAATAACGTTCCTCTGAACTGCAGTTTGGAAATCACAAAGATTTAAATGAGTTTTTAGAAGCAGAAATGATTAAAAGACAGACTTGATCCTAAACTGTAAACATGTAAATTAACCGTAACATTTTAGTTATAATATATATTAATAATCAGTTTTAAATGGATGCAGAGACTTTCTTTAACTTGAGGAGAAAAACTTCAGTTTTTAAATCGAACAAAAATAAAATCAGGATTAAAATAAACTTGTTATCTGCACTTTGAAAAGCAGAACTAATTCAACATCAGGAACTAATAACACGTTCATTAAGTCTTTAATGTCACTTATAATAAGTCGATGTTTGTCTGAGTGGAGTTTGGGTCAGTTTGTGTCATGGAGCTTCGTGCTGTGTGAATACTGGAGGTTCAGAGAAAATTATCTTTGGAGGAGGAACCAGAGTAACCGTTGAAACCAGTGAGTACTGAGATAAATCACAAATACATTAAAAATAACTTGTAGTTTTCTGCTGCAACTTAAAAACCAGTATCTATAAAATGTCAGGAACAAAGAAAAGCCTAAAAATCCCAAACCATTACAAAATGTAAAAACGTTTTAATCAGCAGAAAGACGTCTGGATCGTTAAACAATAAATACGGTAACATTTCATATATATTATAAATTAATAATCAGAAGTCTCTGAAGTTAAATCCAGTTTGGGTCAGTTTGTGTCATGGAGCTTCGTGCTGTGTGAATGATGGAAGTTCAAACAAAATAATGTTTGGAAGAGGAACCAGAGTAACCGTTGAAACCAGTGAGTCTTTTTAAATTATACATGAATTAGAAATAACTCGTAGTCTTCTCTGTAGCTTCAAAACCAGATTCTATAAAATGCCGTGAACAAAGAAAAGCCTAAAAATGAACAACCATAGGAAACATTTTAAATGTGTTTTATGAGCAGAAAGACCGTCTAGATCATTATAAATAAATACGGTAACATTTAATATATAATATATATTAATAATCAGAAGTCTCTAAAGTTAAATAGATGTTTGTCTGAGTGCAGTTTGGGTCAGTTTGTGTCATGGAGCTTCATGCTGTGTGAATACTGGAGGGAATAAGATCCTCTTTGGAAGAGGAACCAGAGTAACCGTTGAAACCAGTGAGTGCTGATATATATTATTTATACAAAGCATCTTTAAACACAAACCAGAATCAAAATGTTTAAATAACGTTCCTCTGGACTGCAGTTTGGAAATCACAAAGATGTAAATGAGTTTTTAGAAGCAGAAATTGTTAAAAGACAGATGTAATGCTAATATGTACATTTACACTAACATTTAAATTATAATATTAATAATCTGTTTTAAATGGATGCAGAGACTTTCTTTAACTTGAGGAGAAAAACTTCAGTGTTCAACTCGAACAAATATGAAACCAGGATTAAAATAAACTTGTTATCTGCACTTTGAAAAGCAGAACTAATTCAACATCAGGAACTAATAACACGTTCATTAAGTCTTTAATGTCACTTATAATAAGTCGATGTTTGTCTGAGTGGAGTTTGGGTCAGTTTGTGTCATGGAGCTTCGTGCTGTGTGAATACTGGAGGTTCAGAGAAAATCATCTTTGGAAGAGGAACCAGACTAACCGTTGAAACCAGTGAGTACTGATAGAGATTATAAATATTATTCATAACAATAATTCAAACTTAAATGTTTTACAAACGTATGAAACCAGTATTTACAAATGTTTAGCAACGTGTAGTTATCTAGACTGGAATCTATAAAAAAACTGAAAATAATAAAACACAAAAAATAAAGAAATGTAAAGACGTTTTTATCATATTTGATCAAATAACAGTACCTTAGCATTTTATATATATTAATAATTAGAAGTCTTTATTGTTAAAATTAGGTTTTTCTGAGTGCAGTTTGGTTCAGTTTGTGTCATGGAGCTTCGTGCTGTGTGAATACTGGAAACCAAAGACTCATCTTTGGAGGAGGAACCAGAGTAACCGTTGAAACCAGTGAGTCTTTATAAATTATACATCAATTAAAAATAACTTGTAGTTTTCTCTGTAGCTTAAAAACCAGTTTCTATAAAATGTCAGGAACCAAGAAAAGCCTAAAAATCCCAAACCATTACAAAATGTAAAAACGTTTTAATCAGCAGAAAGACGTCTGGATCGTTAAACAATAAATACCTTAACATTTCATATATAATATATATATTAATAATCAGAAGTCTTTAAGTTATATCCATGTTTGTCTGAGTGGAGTTTGGTTCAGTTTGTGTCATGGAGCTTCGTACTGTGTGAATACTGGAAGTGGAGGAAAGATCATTTTTGGAAGAGGAACCAGAGTAACCGTTGAAACCAGTGAGTACTGATATCAATTGTAATTCAATTAGCAATCATTTGTAGTTTTCTACTGCAACTTAAAACCACCTTAAAAATCCCGAACCATTACAAAATGTAAAAACGTTTTAAACAGCAGAAAGACGTCTGGATCGTTAAACAATAAATACGGTAACATTTCATATATAATATATATTAATAATCAGAAGTCTCTCAACTTTAATCCAGTTTGGTTCAGTTTTTGTCATAGAGCTTCATGCTGTGTGACTAGTGGAAGTGTAGATAAGATCATCTTTGGAAGAGGAACCAGAGTAACCGTTGAAAACAGTGAGTACTGATAGAGATTATATATATTTGGAAATCACAAAGATTTAAATGAGTTTTTAGAAGCAGAAATGATTAAAAGACAGACTTGATCCTAAACTGTAAACATGTAAATTAACCGTAACATTTTATCTACAATATATATTAATAATCTGTTTTAAATGGATGCAGAGACTTTCTTTAACTTGAGGAGAAAAACTTCAGTGTTTTAATCGAACACATGTAAAACCAGGATTAAAATAAACTTGTTATCTGCACTTTGAAAAGCAGAACTAATTCAACATCAGGAACTAATAACACGTTCATTAAGTCTTTAATGTCACTTATAATAAGTCGATGTTTGTCTGAGTGGAGTTTGGGTCAGTTTGTGTCATGGAGCTTCGTGCTGTGTGAATACTGGAGGTTCATATAAGATCATCTTTGGAAGAGGAACCAGACTAACCGTTGAAACCAGTGAGTCTTTATAAATTATACATCAATTAAAAATAACTTGTAGTTTTCTGCTGTAACTGAAAAACCAGTTTCTATAAAATGTCAGGAACAAAGAAAAGCCTAAAAATCCCAAACCATTAAAAAATGTAAAAACGTTTTAATCAGCAGAAAGACGTCTGGATCGTTAAACAATAAATACGGTAACATTTAATATATAATATATATTAATAATCAGAAGTCTTTAAGTTGTATCCATGTTTTTCTGAGTGGAGTTTGGTTGAGTTTGTGTCATGGAGCTTCATGCTGTGTGAATACTGGAAGTGGAAGTAAATTAATCTTTGGAGGAGGAACCAGAGTAACCGTTGAAACCAGTGAGTACTGATATATATTATACATAAATTAAATTTGTAGTTTTCTACTGTAACTTAAAAACCAGTATCTATAAAATGTCAGGAACAAAGAAAAGCCTAAAAATCCCAAACCATTATAAAATGGTTTTAATCAGCAGAAAGACCGTCTGGATCGTTAAACAATAAATACGGTAACATTTAATATATAATATATATTAATAATGAGAAGTCTCTAAAGTTAAATTGATGTTTGTCTGAGTGGAGTTTGGGTCATGGAGCTTCGTGCTGTGTGACTGATGGAGGTGGAAGAAAGATGGTTTTTGGAGGAGGATCCAGACTAACCGTTGAAACCAGTGAGTACTGATAAAGATTATAAATATTATTCATAACAATAATCCAAATTTAAATGTTTTTGAAAAGTATGAAACCAGTGTTTAAAAATATGTAATAACACGTTATCTGGACCAAAATCTATAAGATATCCAAAAATAATACAACTCACAATGAAAAACCATAAATAAATACAAAATCTAAAATGTTTTTTATCATATTTTATATAAATCAATATTGTAACATTTTATAGATAATATATATTAATAATCAGAAGGCTCTAAAGTTAAATGAATGTTTGGCTCAGTTTGTGTCATGGAGCTTCGTGCTGTGTGACTAGCGGAGGATCAACTAAACTCATCTTTGGAAGAGGAACCAGACTAACCGTTGAAACCAGTGAGTAACGATATAAACTAAATAAAACTTTTTTCTAAACTCAGCTGCTTTAAGAGGACCATTTCAAACACTTCACAAGGATACCCAATACATAATAATTGAGTGTCACGGCTCTGAAGTCAATATCAACATATAATATGAAAAGAGACAAAGCTGGCACGTTTGATTTCATTTGGAGTTAATGATGAAATGTAGCTTGAGTTTGTGTCATGGAGCTTCGTGCTGTGTGGATGCTGGAGGAGCGGGAAAGATTATCTTTGGAAGAGGAACCAGACTAACCATTGGAACCAGTGAGTAAAACAAAATATAGATATCAATTATTTAAAAAGAATACAAACAGTGTTAGACATATAAGGGATTACATATGTTTTAAACTACGGAAGAGCACTAGGGCCACATGGGAATTCAGTTTGATCTGACCAACAGTAAGTTCATTATTTACAGAGGAGGATTCATAACATGTTCCCTCAAATTTAGATTTCTTTCCTCGAAATTAAGATTTTTTTTTCCTAAAATTCAGATAAAGATTTTTCAGAACATTCTGACTTTTTATCTGAAAATTCTGACTGTTTTTCCTCAAAATTATAGATTTTTTTTTCCAATAAATTATGGCTTTTTTTCTCCAGAATCCTGACTTTTCACAGAACTAAAAAAACAACGTTTGTCAGATCTCAAAAAACGTTGCCACGTGGCCCTAATCCTCTTCCGTACTAAACAACAGTAGATTAACGGCTCATAAAATCTGCACTAAGTAGAAAACAAAACCTTTATAAGAAATTAAAATCTAACAATTAGAATACTGCGAAAACAAAAATGTAAAAGTGTTGAAATATTATCTTGAGAATAAAATAAGATTCAGTTAAAAACGTTTTATTCAGAATAATCCTGGAGAGAATGAAAATACTTCACAAACCGTTAAATCTGAATATAATTTAGTGTGTTTTTCTGAATGCAGTTTGGTTCAGTTAGTGTCATGGAGCTTCATGCTGTGTGAATACTGGAGGTGGAAATAGAAAGATAATCTTTGGAAAAGGAACCAGACTAACCGTTGAAACCAGTGAGTACTGATATATATTATAAATATAAATTATACAACATTTTATCACAAACTTAAATGTTCTATACAATTATAAAACCAGTATTTAAAAATATTTAAAAACGCGTTGTCGTCTGGACCAGAATCTGATAAACAACAAGGCTTTTATCATGTTTTATATATATCAGTACCTTAACATTTTAATATAATTACATATATTAATAATGTATTGTTTTAAGGGAATATAATGACTGTTTAATCTGGAGAGAAGTGGAGTTTAGTTCAGAGAGTTTGTGTCATGGAGCTTCATGCTGTGTGAATGCTGGAAATAAGATCATCTTTGGAAGAGGAACCAGAGTAACCGTTGAAACCAGTGAGTAACGATATATATATGATAATAATTATTAATAAGGACCGTCTTTAAAAAACAACAAATGTATTTTACAAAACATTGAATCAGGACCAAGTGGAGAACATACAATACTTTCCTTTATCAATACACTATAAAAAGTGAATTTAATGAATACAATATTTAAAATGTGTATTTACTCTTTAATGCAATGTGAGGCTTTTATTAATTAACTGGACTGTCATTATTTAAAAGAAGTGGTAAATGTCGTATAAATCAATGTTTTTCTGAATGGAGTTTGTACATTAAATATCAGATTAAACATAATATATGATAGAAGTTTATAATGATGTAGTATTTTAATTAAAACAACCTTTATTACTGGAGACTTTCAAACAGTCAGTTTGTGTCATGGAGCTTCATGCTGTGTGAATACTGGAGGTGTAACTAAGATAACCTTTGGAAGAGGAACCAGAGTAACCGTTGAAACCAGTGAGTAACGATATGCATTACAAATATGAATTATACAAACACAAACTTAAATGTTCTACAAATGTATGAAACCAGTATTTAAAAATATTTAAAAACGCGTTGTCGTCTGGACCCAAATCTGATAAACAACTAGGCTTTTACCATATTTTAAAAATATCAGTACCTTAACATTTTAATATAATAACACATATTAATAATGTATTGTTTTAAGGGAATATTATGACTGTTTAATCTGGAGAGAAGTGGAGTTTAGTTCAGAGAGTTTGTGTCATGGAGCTTCATGCTGTGTGAATACTGGATATAAGATACTCTTTGGAAGAGGAACCAGACTAACCGTTGAAACCAGTGAGTACTGAGATACAGTTGATTCATTGTACAAAGCGTCTTGAAACACAAGCTTTGGCGTTTTTACTTTGGTAAATATAAAACTAGAATTAAAACCAATAACATGCAAATATAACGTTTCAGGAAACACAATAAATACAGAATAAAAAACTACTTTTAAAGAAGAAGCAGTGATTGTTTAAAGATTCTCTAAATCATATATAGAAATGAACCCTATTGAGTTCTACCTGAAGGCACGATGAAAGTCAATTACATTTGTATTAAAAAAGATAATTTAGTGAGTACAATTCAATCATTTAGGCTGAAGCTCCCGATGTAAGATCAATGAGTTTGGTTCAGTTTGTGTCATGGAGCTTCATGCTGTGTGAATACTGGAGCAAATCAATTCAAACTGATCTTTGGAAGAGGAACCAGACTAAGCGTTGAAACCAGTGAGTACTGATATCAATTATACATTCATTATATATAATCTGTAGTTTTCTACTGCAACTTCAAAACCAGTTTCTATAAAATGTCATGAACAAAGAAAAGCCTAAAAATGTACAACCATGAAAACATTTTAAATATGTTTTAATGAGCAGAAAGACCGTCTAGATCGTTATAAACAAATACCGTAACATTTGATATATAATATATATTAATAATCAGAAGTCTCTAAAGTGAAATAGATGTTTTTCTGAGTGGAGTTTGGTTGAGTTTGTGTCATGGAGCTTCATGCTGTGTGAATACTGGAGCTGTGAATAAGATGTTCTTTGGAAGAGGAACCAGACTAACCGTTGAAACCAGTGAGTACTGATATCAATTATAAGTATTATTTATTTGGAGCATATTAAATAAAACTGTTTACTGGAACGCATACAAAACCAAAGGAGTAGTGAATTAAAAAAGAGGATAAAATTCAAATAAAATCAGAAAACAATAGAAAAGAATTCACATCTTTAATCTTAATGACATTTCATTTTTTCGTGGACAAAAGAGTTTATTTAAGTTTAATGAGATAATTACTACAGAAGACAGAAATGTTAAATGGAGTTTGTGTCATGGAGCTTCATGCTGTGTGAATACTGGGTTTGGAAATAAGATGATCTTTGGAAGAGGAACCAGAGTAACCGTTGAAACCAGTGAGTACTGAGATCAATTATACAACATTTTAACACAAACTTAAATGTTCTACAAATGTATGAAACTAGTATTTAAAAATATTTAAAAACGCGTTGTCGTCTGAATCCGATAAACAACTAGGCTTTTACCATATTTTATAAATATCAGTACCTTAACATTTTAATATAATTACACATATTAATAATGAATTGTTTTAAGGGAATATTATGACTGTTTAATCTGGAGAGAAGTGGAGTTTAGTTCAGAGAGTTAGTGTCATGGAGCTTCATGCTGTGTGAATACTGGAAATAAGATCATCTTTGGAAGAGGAACCAGAGTAACCGTTGAAACCAGTGAGTACTGATATACAGTTTATTCATTATTCAAAGCGTCTTGAAACACAAGCTTTGGCGTTTTCACTTTGGTAAATATAAAACTAGAATTAAAACCAATAACATGCAAATATAACGTTTCAGGAAACACAATAAATACAGAATAAAAACTACTTTTAAAGAAGAAGCAGTGATTGTTTAAAGATTCTCTAAATCATATCAAATGTATTAAAAATGAACCCTATTGAGTTCTACCTGAAGGCACGATGACAGTCAATTTAATTTGTATTAAAAAAGATAATTTAGTGAGTACAATTCAATCATTTAGGCTAAAGATCCCGATCTAAAGTCCATGAGTTTGGTTCAGTTTGTGTCATGGAGCTTCATGATGTGTGAATACTGGAAGTGGATTGAATAAGATGATCTTTGGAAGAGGAACCAGACTAACCGTTGAAACCAGTGAGTACTGATATATATTATTTATACAAAGCGTCTTGAAACACGAGCTTTGCTGTTTTACTTTGGCAAATATAAAACCAGAATGAAAACCAGACACAGAGAGAATAACATGCAAATATAACATTTCAGGAACTAAGAAAACACTAAAAGTACCGGATAAAAAACTAATTTTAAAGAAGATTTTCTTGTTTAAAAATGAACCCTATTGAGTTCTACCTGAAGGCACGATGAAAGTCAATTTCATTTGTATTAAAAAAGATAATTTAGTGAGTACAATTCAATCATTTAGGCTAAAGTTCCCGATCTAAGATCAATGAGTTTGGGTCAGTTTGTGTCATGGAGCTTCATGATGTGTGAATACTGGAGCAAATCAATTCAAACTGATCTTTGGAAGAGGAACCAGACTAAGTGTTGAAACCAGTGAGTACTGAGATACATATATTAAATATTATGAATACAGAGTGTTTACTTTAACACATGGAGTAGATGGAAAATAAACCAATTAATGTCAGACCGTAAAATATATCTCAGATTCTTTTTGAATGTGTTTTCTGACGTAGTTTGGTTTAGTGAGTTTGTGTTGTGGAGCGTCTTTTAAATAATAAATACCCGTTTAACGTGAATTCAAACAAACGAAAGAGTCCAGTTAAAAACTACAAATGCTGACACTGAAGCAGAAAATATGGTGTTTTATTAACAGTTATTTAAAAAGTGGATTTGTTTTCAGTCAAAATGGTTCATTATGTTAATAAGATATTGCTGTTTTTCTAAATGGCATTTGATCAGTGGGTTAGTGTGATGGAGCGTCGTGTTGTGTGAATGCAAATCAGAATAAGATCATCTTTGGAGGAGGAACCAGAGTAACCGTTGAAACCAGTGAGTACTC